TGGTCTTTGGTTATTACAGAGTTTTGAGGAAGTTTGCTCTTTAGTAGCGCAGCCTTTGGGACTGTGAGATTAGAACATTCTTTTATATATTTCACAAAGCTCAGAAATCTTGCTTTCAGAGGTATCTTGTGTTTCTTAGAAATAAAATGTCATTCTAGTAACCTAACCAATACAATTTTATAATCTTAAAAAATGTCTGGGTTTTAGGCTCTTCTTGTTTGTGGTCCTTGAATGCATGTGCAGAGTAGGGATAAATCTAGAAGGAGATGATTTGCTAAGCAATTGAATTACATGTTTTTTTGCTTTTTAGATTTTTCTGCTGCAGCAGAGATGACAGTAGTAGGAGTGTTACAGTAATAATTAAAAAGCTGTAGAGGGTATACAGCACAAAATGTAAAAAAACCAAGCAAGCAACAAATCCCCCATTTTATGTTTAATTCTTAATTTGATTTTCAGCAGTTAAGCTTTCAGATCTCCTCTGCCTTATCCTCTAGGCTCTCCTCCTTGAGACATTCTCACCATCACTGCCAATAGCTCACAGATTACTGTGCTGCCCTTGTAGTCAGGTAATGTTCTTGGGGGAACAGCTGGATCTTCTGCTCCATTCCTAGGTTCTGCAAGGTGGCAGGATGTTCTGCAAAATCAGGGGTTTTTTATGGCTAGGTTGAAAATGAAGAAGACTGTAGCATGATTGCTTGCTGGCTGAGCATAGATAGCGCTACTTGACTAGATCACAATTGTTTGACTGGTTTTGCTCCATTTCTTCACTGTCTGGGTCCTAGACATGCAAGGCAAAGCTCTCAGTTTGTTTCAAGGCCTGGTTATTTTGGTCCTTTGTTGTCCTCCAAGATTAATGGACTATAAAATCTCTTCTCAAAACTGAATTGAGAATGATTTTGACTTGATTTTTTTTTTTCAACTGATGTTTTTATGTTCAGAATTAATACACTGAATGAGTATCTTTTGGAAGGTCAGTAATTCATCTCCCTCTATAGGAAGTGCAGTAATTCACTGTTGGAATTTAATTTGTAGCTTGGCTACTTGGGGAAATACAGTTTAGATACTTGATCACTACGTTAAAAATATTATATTATCAATGCAATCAGTTATGCATTATCTCCATGTCTTTGTCTCTTTCCACCTATCATCCATTCAGGCTGTTTAAATTTAATTTCAGCTGACCATTTTTACTGTGACTGCTGAACTACAGTACTGCAATACAATGGAAAGAGTTTTTGAATGCTTCCATAAAGAGAATAATAGCAGAAGAGAGGTCACCTGAATGCTAGGCTTTGTTAAACTTACAAAATACACAAAGACTGCTAATGTTATGCTCCAGAATGACAGGGGTGACTACTTTTTGTTAACCAAGGAGGCTTTGTCTTCCCTTCTTTTTTTCTCAAGTTTGCCTCCCACTCTGGTTCTTTTTTGTTAGGTTTTTTTCCCATTCCTTTGGCTCTTTTCCTCAAGCTTTCCGACTCTCAAAATCTTATAGATAAACCACAAGATTTAGCACTATATGCATAAAATGACTGACTCTAAACTCCCTCAGAAATGTCATGCTCTCAGTTCATTGAAATTTGTGAGTCATTCTATCGATTCAAGCATGCACCGAGTTAGGTCTTTAGTCTGACACTCTTTACCTTAGAGTGTGTTCCTATGGATGTGAAGTGTTTTGTTCATACATTTTCAGAGTCCACAAGCCATGTTTTTGCTGTGTTGCTTCCTCAGAAGCACTAGGGAATCCCACGTGCAGCTTTATGAAACAGATCTTGTAGCCCTTTAGTCTGGACTTGGCCTTCTTGAATTACTGACTTGAGATTTTTGTGTATGGTAGGTTTTTTTCTTTTTTTTTTTCTTTTTTCTTTTTTCTTTCTTTAGATGTCTACAAAATCTGTGTTTCTGGATCCATTTATTTAGGCCCAGTGGATTTCAGGCCATTTTTAGGTCCAACCTTTTCCATGCTACCTGGGAAAAAACCAGCATCACTTAATAATTAGAGAAGCTTGGGGTTTCTGATGCTTGCTTTGTTGTTGTTTTGGCTGCAGAGTGTATCCCTGTTCTTACAGATAATGGAAGTAGAATTTGTTCCTGGTTCCTTCTCGTGAGCTGAGCAGCAGAAGTTACAAGAACAACAAATGCCTATAAGTCACTGCTGAAATAAAGGAAAGTTAAGGAATAAGACTGGGGAGAAGTTCCCTGTTTTCCCATCAGAGGCCTGAATGGGCCTCCAACAGACATGCTAATGAAATTTGTTTTTCCCATCTCAGTGATTGCATGTTGAAAGAAAAGAGTAGTTCAGAGATCAGCCACCTCAGCCAGAAGAGTTTAATTGCAGAACTGCTGGGCTGTGCAGCACAGCTGGAGTTTTGGCTAGGCAGACTGTTCTGATGGAGACTGTAACTCTTGTGAAGGGGCTGGAGAAGGTTTCCTCAACCCCAGCACAGGTGTTGCACCCACAGAGAAAAGAAACCACAGAATGACATCGCTCTGTTGTGAGAAGTCTCTCCTAGCATCTAGTCCTTAGCTCCTTGTGATTCCCTGTTGAGGTGCTTCTCTAACTGATTTCAGGTGTGGAACTGCTGTACCTTGATGAAAAGCAGAGTTTAATTCCCTTTCTGTAGGTCCTCTATGCTGCTTTATCTGACAAAGCAAATCCTGTTGAAGGGAGAATATCACCTTTATTTATGTTGATCTGTATTCTTAAATATTTGACTGTGGAAACATGTGAGCTGTACCAATTAGTATAATAAATTAATCTTCTTTCTTTAAGAAGAAATCAGCTGAAGAAGTACCTGATAACTCTGCCCTGTTACAAGATGGAAAGAAAGATGACAAACAAGGTATTCAAATAAATGACTTTTTTTTTTTTTCCCCATTATGGGTTAAATTCTGTGTGTTTTTAGTAATACCATATATTTGCTGACAGAAGCAATGGTATGTTTAATTTCTAAGCTGGCTATGTGTTTCTGTGGATTTAAAGAGACAATTCATTGACAGCAACTGAGTTGAAGACAAATAAATGGATGGGTTTGCTTCAAAATTAGCTCTGTCATATGTAAACGATATGAATTGCACCTTCTAAAATATGTTTAGTCCTAAGGCAATTAATGCTGCACTTCTTATTTTAACAAAGTTGTAATTGTTATCAGGAATTTTGTAAAAGTAAAGACTACATTGTGCCAAATTTTGGATTTCCCTTTTTGCAGGAAGTAGCAACACTTTGAAATGAGTTTTTATTCCTATTAAAAAAAATCCCTGTATTTTCTTGCAAAACAAAAGTTTCGGACGAACTGGATTGAAAATACTTGATTCATTTGTTTCACTTGAAATCCATCAGCAGCAAGCCACATGAAACTGAAGTGATCTTTTTCTTTTTCCACTCAGTACCTTCTAGGGTTTCCAGAATCAGTGCTGGATTATCATACAATCATTCATTCCCTTTTCCCAACCTTTCAGGTTCTCACTTGCTGTCCCTCAGTTGTGGAAAGAAAACAAGTTGTGGGTATTTGGTTGCCTAATTTTCAGAGTTGTGGATTATATATTACTTAAAAAAATTAAACACCTTGACCTCCCAGCTGTCCGCATGTTAAAGTTGCATCAGAGCTGTGAGACCAGGTAGTCCACATTCCCGAATCACCTTCCACACTCAGATGTGACCGAGTTTGGCAGATTCCCAGTGTCCCTGGTTCAAAGAAAGGTTGTCACGAGTTGATGGGTGTTTGTAACACATTTTGACAAGTCAGCATATTCCAAGAAATTAATGTTTTATTGACAAAGTTTGTGTTGTTGTGAAATTCATAATGAACCAGAACAGGACTTGAACCTTGAAGGTTATTTCTTTGAAATGTCTAGGGAAGATTTACTTTTTACTAAGGGAATCTTTTTTTCTTCCCTGTTTAGGTGAAGAACCTGTGCTTTGCTTTTTGTAGCTGACACGTTAAGTCAGATGGGAAGCTGTTTTGGTGCATGCAGTCCTTCAGGGCTGAAGATTTGCTGTATTTATGACAAGATTCCTACCTCTTCAGCCAAAGAACGAATGCTCTTGTTCTACCATTTATTACTATTCTGACAAATGAAAGAGCAGATCGTTCTCCTGACTGAGGAGATCTCCCCAGAAGTAAAGAACCTGTAATTCAGGATTGTAGAAGCAAATTTTCCTGCATTTTCAAAACTGTGTATGTAAATTCTAGTGGAGGGTGTCCCTGCCCATGGCAAGGGGGGTGGAACTAGATGATCTTTGAGGCCCCTTCCAACCCAAACCATTCTGTGATTCTATGATTAGCTCCACTCTGTCAGGTTATAGTATAGTTAAATATGGGAGGTAATGTAATTATAGCTGGATCCCAAGAACCAGTTTTTTCCCATGTTTGGTTTGATAAAGGCAGATGGAGATGAGAGATTTCATTCCAAGTGGTCATATATAATACAGTGTATTACAGTACATTAAATACACTACAGTGCATTAATAACACCTTAAGAAAGGAATTAATAAAGGATGCGTAGGCATTGGTGGAAGGGGAATAAGCACAAAGATTGGGATTTCCTAAATTTTAAGCCTGGTTCTTCCGGTGCTGTATGACGTTCCCTGGGGCAGGCTGGTGAGGCTTCGGCTGCCCGCAGCAGCCAGGCTGTCGTGTGCCCTGGCTTCCCAGGTTTGTGACGTGGGAGAGATGAGTCCCAGCTCTGCCAGGTGTCGCTGGCTGCTGCCTCTGTGAGCAGGCTGCGTCTCTGAAACGGAAGTCGTCCTTGGTTTTAGGCGCTCGACACCCCACCTCCCCACCCCACCCCCCTCCAGTTCTCAAAATTTGAGATTATTTGGCAACTTGGGCATAGGCCTCTTTGTTCTTGGCTTTTGTGCTTTTAGAAGTTGTTACTTTTTTGAGTGCTTGGGGGTTCTGAGAGTATTTGGCTACTTTCCCTTTCAAGTATGTCTCGTGTTATTAGATGTTCTAAGTAATACCAGTTTAGATGCTCCTTTCCCAGAGCTGATACCACGAGATTTTACTTGCACATACTTAAAGTAATTCTCATTGTTTTGTTGGTTTTTTTATTAAGCTCTTAAAGTAAGCACTGCTCTCAAAACGATACCAAAGGAATTTCAGCACTTGACTGTGAAAACAGGTAAGAAGAAAAAAATTTACCTGCTACTTCCATTAGAATTTCGATCAAATATTTTTATATCACAGTAAGCCTAAATTAATGTAATTTGATTTTTTTTTAAGAACCTTTTACTCTCATACTATTTTACTACTGAAATTAACTTTTACCTCGTAATGACTGCTACTTGCAAAATTAATCTTAATTAGTGCTTCAGTTTGTCAAAAGGTTTTCTTGCTTTCTTTCCCTTGTTAGTGGATGTGCATTCTTGATGTGTGGAAAATGTTTTTAACATAGCATTTTGTAGGGAGTCTGAACTTTGTTTTTCTGTAGTACAAACGAGATGCCAGAGCACGAATATTGTACCTCTGGATAAAAGCTCTTCTCAAGTACAGAATAAGTATTCAGTAACTATTCTGAAATGGCCTGTTTCTTTGTAAAAACTGAGCTTTCCTGTCTTCTGTCAAGGAGTTTAAGGGTAGGTAGACTTTGGGAAACACAGACCTTGTGGCACTTACAGCACTGGTGCAAGCTTTGGATTTGGGGTGCGTTTCTTTGTTGAAACCACCCCTGATTTTTCTCTCTCCAACTGCACCATACACTCCTTGTTCTTATCATACTGGAAAATGTTATTTCTGGAACGGCATATGTTGAAGTTGCTTAGCTGCTCCAGAAACTTCCCATGCATTCAGTTCAGTTCATCAGACCTCCCCTGCCTTTCTCTTTGTTAATCTCCTTCCTAGAGTGGTAAGAGTCTCTGCAAGCCTTCCCTGGTCGCAGTTAAGCTAAAATCTGGATTTACCTTCTTTTCCTTTTGCATGAATGTTTTTACTCATGAAAACATCCTTGATTAAGAAAACTGACCCTCACATGTCTGTCACAGCAGTTTTGTCTTATAGCTCGATTTATTCATGGCTGCTCAACAGCTGCATGCCTCATTTCCCAACTCTTTTTTTCCTGGCTTCTTCCCAAACACTTGGCAGCTGCCAGATTTCCTATCTTCAGCTCCTGTTCTCAAACAATTGCTGCTTCTCCTTCACACACACGCACACACACTCTCTTACCCTTCCCTCTTAGGGGGAGAGGCGGGTGGTTGAGAGATTTTCAGTTCTCTTCTCCTCCCCGCAGATTTGCCCAGGAGCATCCCAGAGAGTTTTATTTTCAGTTCAGCAATTGTGTTTTTGGAAAGCTTATGAGGAAAAACCTGCTGTCACCTGCATATCTCCTTTGCCACCGACCTTTTTTCCCCACGGCCTTCATCTCGTAGTCAGGGAGGTCTTCCCAATGCTGCCATGCTCCTCCAGCACCGTTGCTGTGTGTGTATACCAAGGAGATGATGGCAGAGTTTCACCCCATGGTTATGACTCCTGTCACTGTAGGGGTTTCACCTTTGCTTTCCTGCACATTGAGGGTTTGAGCAAGCACATTCTCAGGTTGCATGATATGGTTGATGTTAGAAGTAAAAATGTTTATCTATGCAGTGGGCTAGATACAGCACAGCAATGAGTGGTTATTTCAGAATCAGTCACCTTCTGAAAGGTCATTGTAATCATTAACCTTCAGGATGAAAAATCAGTTGGGATGAAGTTGGAGAATTGTTCCATCCTTCTTCGGTTATTCATTTGGGCTGTTAATGTAAATTCAGGAAAGATGATACTGCCGCGCCTCATTACGGGAAAGTTATCTTTGCCATCAGAAGGACTAGAAATTTCCATCAGTAAAAACTTTATATGCTCAGCATGTCCTCATATCTGGCCAATTTATTTAGGATCCTAAGTGCAAGATCGTTGTTGGCCTTAGATGTTTAAAGGATTAAGGACCAAATTTGCAAGGGTTTAAACTGTCCATTTCTGCCTAGGCCACCATTGAGAGATGAGTCAGTGGGGGTGATTTAGACTAGCGGGGAATTCTTTGTGTTTTTTTCTTTAGCCATGTGACATGCTTGCTCCCTTTATGGTACAATTTTCCACCCGATCTTCTGTAAAGCAAGGAGGCATCAGCTGAGTATAAGGTATTAGGCTACAGCCAAAAGTTACTGAATCAGCATCCTTTGGAATGTTAAAATGAAGTTGTCGTGGGAGAGGGGCATGGGAGCAGTTAAAACACCCAAAACGGGAACCTTCACACTCTCCTGTGAATGACAAAATAAGAGTTCATGATTGTATATGACTTTATTTAGTGCAGACCAGACCATTCAGTTCATCAGTCTCTACTACTTCGGGAATCATACAAACTTTTAAATAATAAATGTAATTAATTTACTCAACAGCTTTATTTTTTTATGAGTTTCATGTCACTTAGGCTTATGAAATAGCAACAGAAATATGGAAGACTCCTGATCTGGATAAATACTTTTGTATGGTCTTGAATGATTATGTTGTGTATATGTATAAACCTGCATATCACGCACAAAGTACGCACAGACTGAACATACCAAAATAACTGCACGTTTTGTGGAAATCCTGCCACAATTATTTGTATGTCCTAATAATGAACTACCTGCTTTATAATATTTTTTTTTATATTGTACTACTTCTTTTGAAAGATAAAGCTAAGTCTGTGTATTGTGTATTGTAGCCTTGAATTTCCTGATTTTTCAAAAGCTTAAAAGAAAATCCTTGGCAGTCATATTCTATCGCTCTCATTTTTTATTAGTAGCTATTGTGGTATTCTCTCTTCCTTGTGTGCTTTCCTGTTTACCTCAAGAAGATGTCCTTGGAGAGTTTGAATGTCAGTTTTACCTGCAGGATTTTAGATGAAAAACTTTCTAAAAGAAGTATGAACAGAATTGCAGTCTCCATAAAAGAAGAAAAATTCGAAGGTTCTTAAACATGGCTTAGTTTGGAAAGTATTTATACTTCCTATTTCTAAGTGCCATATATTTAATAATTGTGCATGTAATTTAATAATTAGTAATTTCAGCATTGGAAAAATTGGGTCATATGGCTGTAGGGAAGCAGTGTCTGAAGTTGTGTCCTCTGGGAGTTTGACAGAGAGGAGGATTATCGCCACTGCCCATTTTAATAATAATTCCCTCTCCCTCCTTTAGTTGCTAGGAGGAGTTTGTTGCACAGAAATCTGGAATGACTGTGAGCCGGTTTGGTGGTGACAATAACCTACTAGAACTTGGTTTATAAGTGGTCATTTGTGTCACTGCCAGCTGCACTTGGGTTTATTCCATCCAAAGCACCAAACAGCACTGCGTGACCCTAAAGGCGGTTTCTTTTATGAAGAAATAGTGTGTGTCTATACATGTGCCATATGCTGCTGCTTGTCTTCTGTGAGCCTAAAGCCTCCTGTGGAGGCTCTATGCAGTAGTACAATGCAAGCCATTAAAAGTCAGTTATTTGCCAGCTGCTAGCACAGGTAGCTGCTGCTCTGCGTTTTGGAGGATCTGTCGTATTCTCAGGTAGTGTTCTGTAGAGGCTGGCAACAAATGTCTGACTTCGTAGTAGGCATATATCTGAAGGAAGCTAGAAACTCTGAGAATTATTCCCCCCCCCCCCACTTACTTCTCTTAAGTGTTGTGACTTGATTGGCAGAATAATGGGAAAAGTACAAGGATTCGCTTTGTGTGTGCATTGGGATTGTTGATGCTGCTGTAATACCTTGAGGATATCTCAGTGGGCTGAATATGAAAGCAATCACAGAGATAATGTTTTCTCAAAATTATCTGATGTTAGTAAGGAGAGTAACAGAAAAGTCACAAAAAGACTATGTAAACCAAGGAACAGCCTTGAGGAATTATCCAGAGAAAGTAAGTCAGCACTGTTATTTTCCTATCACGTAAAACCTGCATGTGGCAGGATATTTGGAATTCATCTAAATAAAAGAAACCCGATTTTTACGTTGATAGAAATGTGTTTGATCAACACTTAGCCTTTAAAGCTTTCTACCTTCAAATATTTTTTCTTCCTAATGTCAGGGTAGTCTCAACCTGATGTGCTCATTTTTTTTTATGTTGCTTTGTCACAACTACGTCCAGGAGTACAGATCAGACCTGTCAGACCTATTGCTTTTCTTGCGTTCCGGTAACCAAATTAAAAGGTGAAGGTCTGACTATGTGTGGGCTTTTGAATTCTTGGGACGTTTACACGATACAGAAACAAAGGGGAACAAGAAGAGAAAATACATCCTCATTGCTCATGTGAGATAAGCACACTCTCACATCTGCATTTGCAACACTCACAGTTTTAATGAACACTGTTCCTGCAGCTAAAGGCATTTCTTTAAAATATGATGTTTTAGCAGTTCATTTTTCTTTTCTGTTTCAGCTGCTCAGGAATCTAATGCACTTAAAGCAAGACCACGATCCAGGTACTGCTTTCATTTCTCTTTCAGCAGAAGACATAGTTCCTCTGGTGTTTAGACACAAGGCATGAGAACTGGTGTTGCATTTTTAAATTTTCTTTTTTTTTAATTGGGGTTGTGCTGGAAATCCAGCTCAGCTAAAAGGCAGATTTACCAGGAGAGATCTGTCAGCTGTAGACCCTACGTAAGTACTGCCTAGAGCCCGACGATCTCTGGTCACAAGGTGCTGGGACTTTTGCCTGTCTGCCCAGCCCCGCTGCCTCCTCGGGGTGGCGGCTGCCTCCAGCCCTGCCCCAGGGACGGCGGGGATCACCCCATCGCGGCAATTTTGTGCTGTTGAAACCTGCACAGTGGTTGCGTATGGAGGGAGACACTGCACGCTCCCCCAGAAACAGCAATAGTAGCTCAGCTCTCGGATGGGGGTGAGTGAATCCTTTCCTTAGCGTGCTTCTACTTGACTATGGCTGGTTGGTGTGTGATGGAAGGACTTAGGGACTTACACTGTTGTGCGCTAAAAATGACACCTGGTGAATTTGGATGTTTGAAAGAAAAGGGAAACCTGTGCCAGAAAATACTGTGTATAAATGGATTATGTGCTGCGTTTGGCTGTTCAACATTCTGGTATATAGCCATATCATGCATTCACCTTCAACTTTTTTTTGGTGCTAGTTAGAGGGCTTCATTTTGTTTTCTTAGGTAATGAGAGTATAATCAGGACCTCCCTCCTTACAAGCTTGTCAAAGCCTGCTAATGAGAGAGGATCAGCCATAAGCATGATGAATGAAGATTGAAATCCTGTGTTCTTAGAGTGTACATCCAGGAAGGCTGAACTGCCTTGTGTGCTATTTTTCTGCTGCTAGCCAAAGCTTTTCAGTTTTCACACTCTTTTAAGTTTCCTTGCTGTGTTACTGAATCATGGATTGCAAATATGCAAAAAAATGTGTAAAAAGTATTTTATGCAAAAATGCATAAAATAGCAAATGCTTAAACAAGTTTGAAAAAAGTCATTTGAACATGACTGCTATGTCACATCTGACTCTCATCTGACTATATGTCACTACTTAAATGCAGAAGTTGAGACCAAAGACTTCTGAGCACATCCTTGAACTCAGCCCTTGCACTGCGCTTGTCCTGCGTAGCCTGGAGGGCTCTACAACCTTGAGGGTCGCTGTCTTCAGGTGTGCCTGACCTCCTGAGGCTACGATTTGAGTCTGTTACCTCTCTCAGCTCTGGAGCCTGGCTTTCTAGCCAAAGCTGTGCAGGTTCTTAGCTGCTGACTCTTAAATGACTTTTAGGTGCTAGGTTCGCCCTGCTGCAAACAACAATTCACTGTCACAGCGCTCTGTGTTGGCACTGCTGGGGCTGGCATATTTTTGCCTAGTAGCTGCTATCTTGTGTTAGGTTGTACAATTTTAATGCAAGTAAAATATACACCACATAATAAAAGTGGTGTATAAAAAGTAAAGTAAAAGTAAAAAACCTTAAGGTACCTGATTCAAAGCTTTGCCATTTATTTCAGGGGGTTGGGTTACGACTTACATGATAGGGCTATGGAATTCAAAACTGTACCAAGATAAAAAATTCAGCATCAACAGGTTTTTGTGTCACATGTAAATTTTGAAGCAATTACGGCTTTCACTCCTGTATTTATTAAAGTTTCCATCAGAAACATAGGATCAACATTGCCAAACGTCTGTCCTGCTAAAGGTCTGTTTTCTAATAGCAGCCTGTTTGGCAAAAACCCGATCCATTTCCCATTAGCGGGAGTTATTTCTGTTCTACTCAAATGTGGTTTTGGTCTTGCCTGTCATGCATAATGTGTTACAGTAAGTGTAACATCTCACATTGTCAGTGCTTATTTCAAACAAAGCTCTCAGTCTTGCAGAAAAACTGGTAACTACAACAGCTGAAAAATATTGGACACTATTCAGCAAAATCAAAATTCTTAGCACATGCACCGCATTGGAATTAATGGGATGTGGAAGGCCATAGAAGGATGAACTGAGACATGTATTTGGCCAGTTTTGGTCACTTTGGAGCCATTCAGTTTTTCTGGATCTTGTGGAATTAGGTGACTGTTTGCTATGAAAATTTTTTTTTCTGATAATTAGAACATGATAAACTACAAAATGTGTACTTGCAAGAGGTAGATTGGAGCTATACCTGTATAAACACTGCTCTTGCAGTTGGGAAAGGCAACAGAAACTCTAAGGGGAGGTTTACGAGATTTTACTCAGGTTTATTCAAAATAGTTGCTACAATTATCCTGTTGGCAGTTAAACTTACATGAGAAGACCCTGAAGCTGTAACAGAAAAGGCCTTAAAAATACTAGCTCTGTAAGCATGACCCGTGACCCGCTCCTTTCCCCAGATGTGTAGGTCCCTCTGTTGGCAAATAAATCTGTCTTGTTGTAAGGGGGAACTTTTAGTCAGTAGGGCAAGGGATTTCCACCATGAACTTGAGTTCTGGTCAGTGTGTTTTTAGGTACTCTTCACTGTAGTTGTTTAAAATGAATTTCTGAAGTAAGGTATTTTCTGCTTTTCCTTTGCCCTGTTCTTCCTTAGGTCTTATTCTAGCACATCAATAGAAGATGCCATGAAAAAGGGAGAAGAGCCCCCTACTCCACCTCCGAGGCCACAGAAATCACATTCCAGAGCTTCCTCTTTGGATCTGAACAAAATATTTCAACAGAACACACAAGGTAAAGTTTGTTTTCTTTCCTTCTTTTGAGACCATTTAGGTTAGCTGCATACTTGGCAACTTGATCTGTTTGCACAAATGCTTGACAATATGTGCATATGCTCGCCTTGGTAATACACTACACTACAGAACAGAAGTTGTTGCACTTTCTTGCATTACATCGCCACTGAGGGGGAAAAATCACTGTTGATATAATTAAGGTGATTATAACATTTTCTGGCACGATAACGGGAAGCTTAACATATGGTAGTCTGTCATCACTGTTTATAACTAGTCTGGCTGTTTAGACAGTTCTCATCAGTAACCACAATATATTTGATTTTTATTACTATTTATTTTTTGTAGTTCAGAAGCAGGAAGAAAACCCTTAATGTTTAAACTGGGAGAAAATGAAATTTCTCGTGTGCAAGCGTTTTTGATGTTGAAGTCTTCCATATGCGTAGGGGCAATCAGAAACCATTCTTTGAGTAAAAAGAAAGGGTAGTTTCTTTTGACATGGGTGCATGTTGAGGGGAGGGAAAGAAAATGTAGAATAGTAGCTGGAGTGAACTGAAAGAAAACCGCTCTCCAGCACGTGTGTTAGTGTTTGAACGGTCCTTTTGCCTCGCAGAATGAGCGGAGGAAAGAGGAGCTGTTTGTTGAGGGCAGCAGTCACCCAGCATCGCTGTGCTTCAGCAGCGTCCTTGAACCAAAGCGGAGCTTTATGCAGCGCACACCAACCGTCTGATTCAAGGACTAGGTTAAACATGGTCATGTTTATGCTTCAGAAGAAAGCCAAGGTTTGACTGTGTCAAGGAATGTTTTTTAACTGGGCTCTCTGATGTGGTTGTTGGAGTAGAAAGAAGTTTTACTTCTTGCTATATGGGACTTTTTTTTTTTTTTTTTGTGCAAATACCAGACAGAATTCAAGAGTCGTGCTCTGTGTTCTGAACCCTGAAACTCAATAGGAATAAACATTGTTATTTTTTTTCTGCCTTACACAGAGACGCAATTCTTGATCTTTGTGGTTCCTGTTCAGGGATCCGTTGCCTCCAATTTTGATTTCATTATACATCAAAATAAAACCCCAAACAGAGCCAAGTACACATTTTCTAAGACAGCAGATCCTCTCAGAATCCAGATAAAAAATATAACTGGAAGGAAATAAAGTTGGATTTAAGTTTCTCTTGGAACACAAATGAAAGGAGAATGTAAATTCTCAAAGAAGTCATTCTGTGAATGAAAAGTAACATCTTGCTTTTGAAATGGATCGTTTTGAAAGTCACCATTACTTTTGAAGTAACATACCAATTTATTCTGGGCAATTTAACAAACTGACAGTGTTATAGTGAGTGCAGGAAAGGATAACTCGTCCTATCAATACTTTCTGGACTGTTTCCTCACTGGGCAATTAAGTAAGGATAGGCAGTTGATTGCTTGCAAAAAAAGAAAGTGCTTTGGTCGCCCTAAAACTGTTCATCATATTCAGTTCAAATTTACAGCTATTTATAGTTGGAACAAAAATTTGCTCTAGGTTGACAAAACCTAAAGTATAGTGTGTTAACCAAATTGCAGAAATGTGGACAGTCTTCCAGAGGTTCAGCTTCCTCCTGTACCTGCAGGGTGTTGGCTTGTCATTTTTTTGCTGTCTTGAATGTCCTCTGGTGGCAATGCTAAATATTTGTGGTGGTCCTCTTTCTCTAGTGGAGCTGTTCTAGTTTGTGTCAAACATGTAAATACTTGTTGTGAAAGAATAAGGAGGAATTTATAGCCTTGGAGGATTTAAGGAAGAACTTGTTAAACCGTTTGTAGCCCACCCTGAAGAAGGATTCCAGTACAAGTAAATCTGCATCATCAGAAGGAGGGGATTAAATCAACCCATCTCAGCGTGCCCAAGTACCATGGTGCGTTTACTTTGCTCTGCTTTGAAATAAAATGTCTGCATTAGGAGTCATATTTTCAATTCTTCGTTCTATTGTCCTGGTTCTGATGGCTAAACCATGTCACTGTGAAGAAACATGCACGCTCTTTTCTGTCATTAAGCCCCGAATAGTTGTTATTCTACAACATCGTATTGATAAGGTGATTTTACACAGCTGCTTTCTTTTCTTCCACTTCTCTTGTTTTGATCACCCCATTTTTTTTTCATCCTTTTTTCCCCATCCTCTTCCCTACTGGTCTTGATTCTCAGTAGAAGTTCTAATCTCATCATTTCTGGATACCTTTTTCATTTAGAGACAGTTCTTCCTCAGGGAGCGGTCATTGTTTCGGAGCCAAACTCTTTACGGAGGTGCACTTTGCACTTTCTAAAAAGACAGTTTGTAGGAGAGCAGATGGGCTGAGCACTGTCACCTTAAACCAAAGAGCCTCGCCGAGAAGAATGCATGTGCACATGTTTGTGTGAAGTAAATTGCACACCGTTGTATAATGCCAAGCTGTATTCTTATTTCTGCTGACAGTATAAAAAATGAATTTAGAATAGTTTCCATCTGCCACCAGAAGATACAGTTACACATTTACAATATAGATGACATGGTAGCAATGTACTATTTGGGTTTCTTGGCTAATGGGGGTAATACAGCCTGGCATAAATATTGAACCTGGTGTGTTTCTATCCACAAGGTAGTTGATTGCTCTCTGTCCTAATGTACTCTTGACTGAATTTTTGCTTTACATTTTCTCCCTGCCTTCCTTCCTATGTTTTCAAAAATAATCTCATTGGTGTAGCTGAGCCACAAAAATCAGCTGGAATGACCATCCCTTCTAGCACGACTGCACTGCCTAGTGTCAGTACACAAAATCAGACTCTAAAATCAGCTGTTTTAATCGCTTTCAGAGTATATCCTGTTTGATTACAGTAATCTCATTCTGGCATATTAGGTTTTGTCCTACTAGTTCTTATTCAGAAATAATCCCAATTTTGTGAGTTTTGTGGGTAGTCTGCTCCCATGCCTGAAAAGGAGTTCTCAGTAGTATTGAGTTTTATCTTCAGTTCCTCATTGGTCATGTTGATCTATAGGTATCACTTCTTTAATTGTAAAGCCATCAGTGTTTTGGAGTATTTTTTTTTGTTCATTTTTAAAGTGCAGGAAAAAAAAAAATCTCTTCAGGTAAATTCAGCCAAAGATTGTGGCACATCCTTATTGTGGGCACTGGTTGGTGGGGGGGGTGTTCTTGTTTGTTTTTCATTTACTGCTGCTCTATTATGTTTGCTGCTCATCTTATGATGCCCCTCTCCTGGCAAGTAAACACAGATAGCATTTATCCATGTTGGTTAGGATGTCCAGCATGGAAGCTGTGCTTTAAAATTGCTGAATTGGGACATAACTGCACTTGAAGGAGGTGCTTTCATTCATATTCCATAGCTGCACTCTGGGACGCTCTAACTAGTGTTACCCAGGAAAAACATAGAAAACCAAGAGAACTTGCTGAAAGGCCCCGCCTTCTTCAAATCTACCATAATTATTGAACTGCTCTAGACAGACATTTTAATAGTATGCACAAGAGGATTATTGCTCTATCTATATCTCTCTGTGTGTGTACATGTGGATGTATTAAAAAAACCAACAAACGACCACCACTTTTTATTTCTGTTCAAGGCCATGATTTGAGATGACACTCTAGTTTTGGAGGACACTGTAGATGTGACAAGCTATAGGGATGTATTTTATCATGTACTGACCTATTTTTCTTAGTTGTGACCCTAAGAATATGGTGTGATTGAAACAACATTTGTGGTACAATGGCCTTATTTAATGTTATGCAAACCTCAGGAAGTTCAACTTTGGGGTTATTTAATAGTGGCATCAGTGAAGCATCATGCCTATTGCCAGAACCGTTTTTCTTCTCCTAAAACTGTCATGGATGCCCCTGGCTTTGCTTAGCTTTGAAGGATGTGTGTTTTCTCAAGCCTTGCACAACTAAGTTGCTGCAGTGAAAGTTTCATTGCCTTGACGCATAGTATTTTCAAAACCCACTAATCCCTGAAGAGTTTTTCTCACAATATCGGTGTACAGGGCTGCTAGTGAATTTAACTAGAGGAAAATCATTGCATACCAGGTCATCCTGTGAGTCCATATGTGAATTTCTGTTAAGAGATGTTGAGAGACAGAAATATCTTCTTTTTTTTTTTAATAATCATATAGTCTTTGCATTCACATCTGAGAAAAATTTAGTACTGCTAGATTCTCAATGTATTTCTTTTCGTTGAATGTATAATCTTTGGCATTTGGCCTATGTACATACGAAGAAAATACTTGGCTGGGGTTTATGCATTCCTGGAAAGACAACAGCAGGTTTTAAGTACAAACAAAAATGTCAGTTTAAATGCATACATGACCTGGTTTATGTCTTCATTTCTTCTCTAGCCCACAGTCTACTCAGATACAAGCCAAGAGCTCCCAGAGTAAGACCTGGGAGCCTGTGGCCCGCAAAGCTTTCCTGCTTTGTTCACAAAGGTCGTTTGCAGAATTAGCTGCTCTCTTCTGTCTGTTCCACGATCTGGACGAGGGAGCAGGTACTGAGGAGGCCAAAATTGTTGCAGCTCGGAGCCCAGCAGTCCTGCAGCAAGGCCCCCAGCCATCGTTAGCCTTGACGGCAGCAGTAAGCAAGGGTCTACCTTGGGATAACTCTGGGACTGGGTCTCAGCTTAAGTATTAAAATCCAAAAATGCATCCATTGTCTTCTGGCGTTTTGCTCAGTTAGGTTTTGTGCCCGTGACCACTAATAAAGAATTTACTTTTGCGCAATTATAGGCAGTGACAGCAGTCTGGGTCTTGCTAGACTGATACACGTGCCTCTGAAATATATTTTATTTCCCATTTAGTTTCATTTCTGAATTACATAACTTCTTTTAATTAACAGCTCTGTAGAACAAAGGATACTTGTTTGGAAAAGAGAATTTGCTTTGATGAAACAACATAATTGTCATAAACAGTGTAGTTTCATGTTGTTAGGAAAGGAAGATTGAATATCTGTGTAATTCATCAAAACAGCCATATAACTATTTACAAATGAATGTTT